ATATATATATATTTGGTCACTGTAAAAATCCATTCATTAGTGGAAGTTTAACCACTTGGAACAAGATGTCTCCTACAGCCCTGAAAGCAAGGCAAGTTTCCAAGTTAGTTTGACTACTGGAGTTTGACTGGGTCCCAAATTAGTTGTATTGTTATAAATCCCGCTCGCAGGTACATCTCTTAATTTCTGATTGTAGACGCAACAATTTCAGCAGAAGATTTACCAGTTACCAAAACATATATCTCACAGGTAGAGTTCCCAAAGATCTAAAAGGTAAAATAGACAAAAAACATTTACATTCAATGTTGTTCCCAAAGTTTTATTTGGGCACAATTGCTATTTATTTCAAGGCAAATCTCCAAGGTTTCATGTAGTCAGGATTACTCGATCTCCTTTAATGTTTAAAGTAAACAATCAAGTGAAAAGTGACATTTTATATTTGTGCCGAAAATCTGTGTTGAAATTCCACATCAGAAACTATATTTGTCAGTATAGGAGCCTTAAATCATATACTATTTGAGTATCTTAACATATTGTATTGTATTGAAGTCTATTATTCTCTTGTTGAAGGTAAGAGCTTTTGGCATAGTGCTTGTAGAGCACCTCCAACAAAAATGACCCTTTCTATTGGAAGTGATTTAACACAGGGGAAGTATAAAAACTCCATCAATATGCTGCAGTAAATCATCGTGCCCTCGGGCAGCCAATTCATCTCAATTAATACTAAATAAGAAAACTGCTCTGCTAAATGATACAAGCCATACATAGAAGGTGGAATGTCTTGCCAGATGAAGCCCAAAATTTCACATCTATTTCAATGGAGAAACACCTGCTACAAGCAGATAGGTGGGGAGGCTTTATTTGAGCTTTATTGGATGAAAGAGTGGAGGTTAAGAGAGGCGAGAGACAGCAGGGGAGGGGAGGAGAAGTGGAGAGGTGAGGTGAGCTTAGGTGGAGAGGTGAGACAAGACTTGTGTAAGTGAAAAGAGAGGAGACAAAGGAGGAGAAAGAGTGAGAAAAGATTGGAGAGTGCAAAAGGATAAAAGAGAAGAGGTGAAGGGGCAAGGAGAAGAAAAGGAGAGGAAATTAGATTAAGAGAGGTGAGGGTAGGGCTGATGATGATGTCAGGAAATAGGAAACCTACGATTTGAGTCCCGCATTCTCCAGAGTGAGCTCCTCCAGACTGTTGGACTTGCTGATTGTGTGTAGAACCTGGTCCACGACCTCTGACCCCTGCAGAAAAAACACACAGCACATGTGGAACGTGGTGGTGTCGAGCCGCAGTGGAGGACAGAAAAAGTGAACTACAAGCAGGGCTGTAACAAAATAATCTACAACTTATTTATTTATTTTTTGCATCTATTTTATTGTTGTGCCTATAAAAGATTAAGTACATAAATAGAAAAAAAGGCCATGATAGTTTCCTAAAACCCTTGATGCTCTATTCTACAAATTACTTTTTGTCTAATGATCCAAAACCAGGATCGACTCATTTATTTTTTCAAAAAAAAAAAAAACAAGCTGTAAATCCACCCAGTGCACAATGGAAATAAGCTGCTGTATCTGCCCTGTATCTGCTTTTAAAGAAGAAGTCTATACACTGATGTTAGAAAAAAATCTTTAAATGAACTTCAAATCATATCTTATCTTTGGTTTTACACACAATGCCTTCGAATAGGCACAAAATCAATCAGTGTCTTAATTATAATGAGTATAATTACCATTTCATTTTTGTTGAGACTAAAAATAAGACTTAAATCTATGATAAAGTTTCAATAAATTACCATATTCTTTGGACCATAAGACACATCGCATTATAAGGCGCATTAAGCGAAACAAAACAGTCAGATAAGTCAAACTTTACTCAGCTCATTCTTATTGCTTCCCCCACTTCCCTACCATTGATTCATTAATGTTTAATTCTCTCACAGCCACTCTATTCCCATGTTGTTGCAGTATATTAATGACTAACCTCGTATTGTGGATGGATTATCTCAGTTGTTCTCCTAACTGACGTTTGGTCGGTTTACAGCATCCTGCCACGCGATTGTATTTGTCCCTAACCATCGGGAACCTTCACGTTAACTTTTATCGAGTGAAAAAAATTAGCATTCATCCTCCAGCATCACTGTGTTTATGTTATGCTAACATAGCTGTGTCGCTAGCGATCACGTAGCACAATGTTATATACCAGCTAGTCCAACTTCAGTAACCCTACAAATGTCACTACTGTTTAGTTTCCTGTCTTCATTTATGTTGGAAGTGATAGCAGAGCTGTACGTTTAAATTTTTTCAGAAATCTCTCAGTCAGAACATGGTATATCATGTTTAGGTGCAAACTAGCGAGCTAACTTCCTGCTAACTTCTAACTCCGTTAAATTTAATAGATTCTGTTTTCATGATGCCAGGATGTTAAACTTAATTGTTACACCTGGTAAAGCAGCAACGCTGATCATTTTATTAAAGATGAAAGACAGTTTTTAACTCTCAGTGACGCCACAGTGTTCGTTTGACTTTGGGACCTGAAGCAGATGGAGTTTAGGACTCAGATCACTCCAGGAAGCTTCTGAGTAAGGTAGCCATAATGCTCCGACAATTTAGTGTTAGCATGGTAACTATTAAGTGTTTAGAGAAACACAAAGAAATGATAATTTTCTAAAAACGCCAAAGAGACAAGCTGATTTAATAAAATAATAAATCAATAGACAACACAAGAGCGCAAACGTTTACATTTACAAACATTGTTTGTCTACATCTGGGGAGACAGTTCATAAGTGAGGGAGATTAAAAAAAAAGATATTTACTATGCGCATGTCTTTGCAGTACAGCTTGGTGAACCAGGTGTTGTAGGCAATGGATGCCACAATCACTGCCAAGTCCCTGGAAAGAAGACGACAGATAAAATTCAAAACTTTAAATTAGCAAACTCCATCTGCTCAAAACCATTTGATCCCATTGATCTATAAATTTGCATTATCTCAGGCCAAACTTATTCTATGCTCTGCATTTGGTAAAAAGCAGTTTATCATTGTGACAGGGAGAACAGCACGGGCAGGGCTGCTTTCTAAAAGATGACTGATACTGCAGTCCTGCTGAGGAGAAGAAGCAGAGTGAAATGGAAAAAAAGGAAAGGAGAGAGAGATGTAAAGATCGATGGACGGGTCAGTGGATTATTCAATAAAGCCACACTCTGATCCCAACTACAGACCTCAAACACTGCTACATCCACTACTGTACACCCAGACATAGAGCCCACAGATGATCCTGTGTATGCGTTTGGGAGGGAGAAAGTGAGAGAACAGAGAGAGCGAGAGAGGGTGTTATTTAGAATCCTCCAAGGTCCAACTATGGCCGTACTGCTGCTACACCTGCTATACATCATCTGACAAACAAGCAGCAACACAGAGAGAAGGGATGCACAGAGAAAGCGAATACACACAGGAAAAGACGAAGAAAGGATGATACGGAGGAAAACACAGAGTGAAAGGGGGGAAAGGAGGAGGAAAGAGTGTAATCGGACCAAGGATGTTTCTGTTGCAGTAACCAGGACATTACAGTTTATCTCAGAGGAATAAAATGGCTACAGGCTGTGTTCTTTTTTCATTAGCATGACAGCCGTCAGACCAGTCCATTCTGACAAACACGGCCAAGTCTGTGCAAGCGAGCAGATGATGCACACGTCAAGATTCATCAGCACTGTCTGATTCATGTTTTGACAGCAGGACATGTAATTGACCTCTATGATCCAGCTCAGTCGTGCAGCGTGTTGGTGTTTATGTGTCAATTTGTACTGGTACGTGCGGACGCGGTGGCACAGTGGGTCAATCTGCTGCAGTTTATGTCCTTAATTGGATCGTTTTAGGTTAAGGACAGGGATATGAAACTTTATCCCTTTCAAACTTCAGTCATCTGCAGCAAGAAGGAATTAGAGGCAAGAGAGCAGAGTGGCCAGTCAACAGTCATTTCTTACAGTGCTCTGGGGAAAATGCACATCGATATCAACATGGATACTTGACCGATTTTCCTGCATACGGGTCAGGAATAGACACCCCCCGAAGCTTTTTCCTTTAACAATAACATTTCAGAGACTATTTTTCTAACCAGTGAAGAGGAAATAAAGTGTGAAAAACAGGATTACCAAGATACAGTTGGAGCAATCACAGAGAAAGGTGTCAAAGGAACCCCTCTACTTTAGCTGTCTTACGCCTGCCAGGACTATTCTTCCTCTAACCAAAAAGGAAAATAAAGTATAAATGCACATAAATACTGTATTTTGAGCATTTCGTGATCTGTTATCAAGGACTCCATTTGAAATAAAAACACACCACAGGTTAGACAGAAATTTTTACAAACAGTTTTAAAAAATTGGGAGTTATGGGTTTACCAAATATTAAATTTTATTATTGGACTAATAATTTAAGAATAACTCAATTCTGATTGCAATCTGACTCATTTTGGCTGTCATCAGTTTGGCTTACAATGGAAGCTGCTTCTCGTGAGTTGGTATCTCTGTCAGCCTCAGCTCACTCCATGAAAAGTTCCTCTTCTGAGTATAATAAAGACATTATTGTCTTTAGTATAATAAGGCTGGGAATCTGGAGGCAATCCAAGCACAGTTTTCATAGCCAAACATATTCAATATCTGCTCCTGTAACTGTAAATCATGTCTTTCGTCCATATTTAACAAATGAATCATTTCAAACTTGGCCCAACCTCATTTAAATATCTCTATATTAATAAAACGTTTGCCCCTCTCCATCAGTTGTCTGATAAAGTTGGATAACCTAAACATAATTTCTTTAGATATTTACAAATCTGTAGCTTTATGAGCAAAACATTCCCTTAGTGTCCATGTTTTTGATACTTGAACTAGAAAGGAATGATTTCATATACTGTATTTATTCTCAGAATCCCTCCTTTCATCTGGTTTCCCTGAAATCTTTCAAAACATGCCCTTCATAATGCACATAAATCATCTTTTTGGATTAACTCCATTTAAAAGCATGCACCGCTTACATTTATTACGAAGTTTAACATTTCTCAATTTTATAAAGACAAACCTAACTTGTGACAGGTGTTGTCAAGTCCCAGGAAAATCACGTTCATGTTTTGATCTTGCACGGTTTTGCAGCACTTCTGTGAAGAAATTTTAGATCCTGATCAAATATCACTGGAAAACCAGTGGAACCTAATGCTCTGATGGATTGTGTTTTTTATACTGCCTTTGCTACTTTACTGCCTAAATGTAAAACACGACTTAAGCGAAAATCTCCCATAGCTCCCCTACATATTCAATGGATAAGAGAAGCTGTTTGGATCTGCTCTACTTTTTGAAAAACCAAGGGCCTTCAGACAGAAATTTAACATGATGTGGGACCTTTTTCACAAATACGTTAAACAGTTGGACTTTTCAAATATCAGATTCTATATGAAGCTTTTTTAAGGCATCGCAGGTTAAGAGTTATTGTTGTTCATGATTTATTTATTTATGGGTTTTATCATTTTTGATATGGATATGTAAATTGGAAAATACTGCAACTTGAAATTTGTTTTATGCAACTTTTTTTTATACAATATCAATAAGGCCGAGCTGGTCTCTTTAAATGAATATGCCTGCTCTTCCCACTGCTTAGCTTTGATCACAATTACTGTCACTTTTGTTGTTGTTTTTTATTGTCCTGTTGCCAAATTCGATACATTAAAACAAAATTAAAGAGTGTTCAAGTTCGATCAGATGATTGTTTTTACAGATAGTCCTGCCCTATCGACTGCACACTTCTATCTGTGAAATCAGTTTTGGGTAAAGGCAAGAGAGGATTTTAAGGACTGGATAATATATAATAATTAGGTTTACATATATACACACACTCACTGATAAACATGTATTTGTCCACAGGAAAGGCTGAACTCCACTGAAGATAATAGTGGTGCTTGACAGGAGGATCCTTTCCATAGCAAAGAAAAATCCATTCAGAATATAATGACCTTCGGAATAGAAAGGCCAGATAAGAGTTTGACAAAAAACATCTGAAAAAGCCAGACCAGCTCTGAAACTGGCTCCTTTGCACAGATGAAATGATTGCCTGTGGCAAAATGACTGAAGGAAAGAGAAAAGCATGGAGAGGGCTTGGAAAAGCTCATGAACGGAGGCATAGTACAACCCCTAGAAAACACAATGAAGAAAGTGTGATACTGTGTGGTCTATCATGGCTCTGGGTCACTAGTGTTAACTGATGATGTTAACAGATGAGTAAACTGTGAGGAGGAGAGTTAAAACTTCTGCTTGGATTCAGCCAAGTGCAGCAAAGTTATCTGGACAGCGATTCACGGTATAGACAGACAAACACTGCAAGAACTACCCAGAAGGGTTTTTAAAGGTCATGATGGGCAATTATGCAAAGGCCAGTCAATCAACTCATCTTAACCCAATCAAGCATCGATTACAATGAAGGAAAAACAAAAACACAAGGAAGCAAGGACAAACAACAACTGAAGACAGCTTAAGTAAAGGCCTGATCAAGCATCGCAAATCCATAGTTTGGTGATGTCAACGGGTCCCAGACTTTAAGCAGCTATTACCTGCAAGGAATTGTCAATAAAGCATTAAAATAACAGTTTAATTTATGATTATGGTAATTTGTCCAATTACATCTAAGTGCCTGAAATGAAAAATGTCTTCAACTCTTCAATGCTGCATGCAGTATTTCTGTTAAAAGACAGAGAACATGTGCACTTTAAGCAAATATTCATATTCAATAACTCATATAACTATAGCTTCATGTTCTGGTAAATGGCTAAAATAACTACAAAAAACAAAGTGCCCAGAAATGTGTGGAATTAACTGTATACAGTTCTTCCACAAGCATAGTTGGAAAATATTAGGTTCTTGTTACTGGGTGTACTTTAGAGAATATAATTGGAGCACATAGATGTCAAACATACAGACTGTGGGCCAGAACTAGCAGGCCAAAGGGTCCAATTTGACTCAGTGGGTTGCAGAGGAGGAAGCCATCATTTCTGGACCATTAAGCATTGTGTTGCAGGCTGTTAAGAACGGATCATGTCATAGAATTGCTTGTCCAAAACTATTAATTTTATCTAGGCAGATGTCTGATTTTTTGTCAGTTTTACAGCCTTCTTTTGTACCCGCAACCTGCATACCACACAAAGTAGGTAATTAAGCTAAGAAGCTGTGTATGCACATTTCCTTGATTTACAACAGTCACATTTCTTTATAATGAAAATAGATTGGCAGAAAGTGGAAAAAAATTAGATACAGTTGAAAATTGCCCTTATTTTTCTTAAGACATGTCAGGCTGTGTCATGGTCCTGGGTTTTAGAGCCAGTGTTTTTTAATTTTGCACTTTCTAGTTCTGTTGGTTGTTCATTTTATCTTGGTTCTTGGTTTACTTTTCATGTATTATTCAAAGATTTTGTGTTATTCCTTTTGCTGGTTGGGGTTTGTTATTTACACTATATTATTATGTATCATTATTTATTATTTAAAATATAAATGTATTATTTATAGCCACAGAGTGCTATTAGTTTTGCTGTCTAGTTTCTGTTCAGGGTTATAGTTTGTTAATATTGCATTTCTTCCTTCAGTTTATCCTGCCTCCCCCATACTCTCCGGGTCTTCTTACGTCTCCTTCACTGTGTTAATGTTCCTATTTTCAGTTACTTCCTGTTTTATTTTGATAGTGTCTTGTTTCATGTGTGCTGTATTTAGTTTTGCTTCCCTTGTCTTGTTTCCCCCGATTAGTTCCAGCTGTGTAATAATAATAATAATAATGGATTGGATTTATATAGTGCTTTTCAAGGCACCCAAAGCGCTTTACAATGCCACTATTCATTCACTCTCACATTCACACACTGGTGGA